AAAGTCTGAATCTTCACTTCCCAATGGAAAATGAGGGGGAAGGAATCTGAAGTCTTCCCAAGGAGCCTTTGGAAAGGAGCAGGAGAGGAGACCCTTCCCAGGATGGAGCCCCTCCCTCCCCTCCTCCTTTCCCTGCTCCCCCCTCGGGACTCGATCGCCTCCAAGGCCATCGGAAGAAAGGCTCCTTCCAGCCTCGGGCAGCTCCAGCTGGCAGGCGGCAAGGGCTCGGCTCCCAGCGCTCGGGCCCAAGGAGGGAAGGGCGCAGCGGTTCTTCGGCGAGGAGGAGGAGGAGGAGGAGAAGAAGAAGAAGAAGAAGAAGAAGAAGAAGAAGAAGAAGAAGAAGAACAAGAAGAAGAAGAAGAACAAGAAGAAGAACAAGAAGAAGAAGAAGAAGAAGAAGAAGAAGAAGAAGAGGAGGAGGATGAAGAGGAAAAAGAAGAAAAAGAAGAAAAAGAAGAAGAAGAAAAAGAGGAAGAGGAAGAAGAGGAGGAGAAAGAGGAAGAGGAAGAGGAAGAAGAAGAAGAAGAAGAAGAAGAAGAAGAAGAAGAAGAAGAAGAAGAAGAAGAAGAAGAAGAAGAAGAAGAAGAAGAAGAAGAAGAAGACATGCCAAACGGCGTCGGCAGGCGGACATGCAGCGCCAGAGGAGGGAAGGAGGCCCCCCTCAAGACTCAGGGCCATCCTAACCCTAATTCTAACCCTAACTGGAATTCTAAATCTAGCTCGACCTACTCTAAATCTAAATCCAACTCTAAATCTAAATCTAAATCTAAATCTAAATCCAACTCTAAATCTAAATCTAAATCTACCGTCAACGACAACCCTACCGCCTACCGCCAACGACAACACCAATGCCAACACCAATGGCGATGTTGACATTTCCATGGGGGATGAGTCTCTGGTCCAGGGCTGTACCCCACTCACAACCCAACATGTGTGCCAAAGAGAGCATAGGACACCTAGGACCGGCAAAGGAAACCCTCTCCATTTTAAGGAAGCCTCTCCGACGTTGAATTAATCAAACCAACCAACCAACCAATAAACGAATAAATAAACATGTATTTGCTTCTTTATTACGGTAGGAAACATGTTACAATATGGGAGAAGGAAGGGACTCCAGAAGATCACGAGGCAGATTGTATCCGAGCTGTTTCGAAAACTAATTTCCAGCACTTGTTGTTCCATGAAATATTGAAAAACTAAAAGATCCCGATGCCGCCATTGAGCCACCTTCTGTTTGTGAAAAAAAAGGGGGGGGCCTTAATGTCTTTACCAACTAAGGCAGTGGTTCTCAACCTTCCTAATGCCGCGACCCATTAATACAGTTCCTCATGTTGTGGTGACCCCCAACCAGGGGTGCATGTGGCTTATTTCGTGGGCGTGGCTTGGAGGTCATATGACTGGGTGGGCGTGGCTAGCTGGTCATGTGACCAGGCAGCCATGGCTATGTGTATAGGGACTACTCAGAGGGCTGAAAAAAGTCATTTCTGACAGATCCTCGCACTTTTGACTGGTCCTCACACTTATGACCATCCTCACATTTATGTTGGTGCAGCATTCTTAACAACCGTGTCACTCATTTCACAACTGCTTCTCTTCACCATGGTGATAAGATAGGGCAAAAAACGTAAAATGTGAGGGCAGTCGTAAGTTCGAGGACTGGTCAAAAGTGCAAGGACCATGTATTTTTATTGTTACAAATTGAACATAATTAAAGCATAGTGATTAATCACAAAATGAATATGTAATTATATATTGTGAAATATTTATTTCTAATTATAAAGAAATGAAATGTTGTTGTGAAGCATGGTGTAGTATGGATAACAGTTTTAATACAACAACAGTAAACTACATTGGTACATTTTGTAACAGTATGCATAAAAAGCCAACGTCAGTGCGAAGGTTGAGATTGCTTCTTTCTCACCAAATCAGAAATTCTCGGGGCAGTCTTTGCAAGAGCACAACGAAGATCCTCTTCCACAAGAAGTCTACTTCTGTATTTAGACTTGATAACCAACAAGCTGGAAAACCCTTTTTCGCAAAGATATGTTGTTGGAAATGGAAGAAGAAGGCGCAACACAGTCTCAGACAGAACAGGATATGACTGCAAATACTTGATCCAGAATTTTGTAACTGGCATTGTAGTGAAATCAGTTCTCGCTGCATTGCTGTTAATAAGTTCAATGAACTCCTCTTGTGCTGTCTCAGGAACATCTTCAACTTTGACTGTGAATGGGCTTCTGGCAAGTGCAAATGGGTGTCAGGTAGATTTGGAAAGTACGATGAAACTTCGTCTTCAAGCATGTGCAAGTGTTCTTTCACAGAAATTATCATCGTAATCTTTTTGTCTGGTTCAATGTCATGTTCCTCAAAGAAAGCAGATAAGGTAAGCAGCATGTAAATTTTATTTTCATCCAATTTGTTTTGCCAAAGCTGAAGTTTCATTTGGAACACTCGGATCTTTTCAGACAAATCGAGGCATGTTGCATCTGGTCCTTGCAGTGATAAATTTAACTCATTCAAGATGGCAAAGATATCAACCAAGTAAGCTATTTTCTGCAGTTCACTTTTATCGCTGAAAAGTGCTTCAAACTGCGGCCTTGCTTTCTGATTAAAAAACATTTTGAGTTCATCACGAAGCTCAAAAACACGTTTTAAAACTTTTCCTCTCGACAACCATCTCACTTCAGTGTGAAATAGCAGAGCATTGTTCGGCGCATCCAACTCGTTGCACAGTTGCGAAAACAGCCGGCTGTTTAAAGAACTCGCCTTTACAAAATTGACAGCACTTATGACACTTTTCATTACTTCATGTAACTCTTGTGGCAGCGTCTTCGTTGCTAATATTTGCCGGTGAATCATACAGTGCGTTCTGATGACTTTTGGTGACTCATTCAGTACCAAACGTTGAAACCAAAGATCGACATCCTAGCATAGCTGGAGCACCATCTGTACAAACACCACAAACATTTTCCCAAGAAATCTTATGCTCTTTCAGAAATGAACCAACTGTGTCAAATACATCACGTGCAGTTGTTGTCGTTTCAAGAGGTTTGCAAAAAAGAAACTCATCTTTAAACTTGCCATCATTAATATACCTTACGTCAGCGGTTCTCAACCTGGGGGTCGCGACCCCTTTGGGGGTCGAATGGCCATTTCGCGGGGGTCGCCAAAGACCTCTCTTGCCCCCCCTTGCCCCCCCATGCTTCCCCTCACCCTCTGAGCGTCTGTTGGAGGGCAGAGAGTGGGGAGAGCTGTGTGTGCCTTGGTGTGGGTAGAAAAGAGTTCAGGGATTCCCTGCTGCCACCGCCCCCCCCCCACCCACCCCATTGCCTGAAACGGCAGGAAAATCTTTTGCTGGGTGAGCTCAGGGATTCCCTGCTGCCACCCTCCCCCCATTGCCTGAAACGGATTTTCCTGCCGTTCCTGAGTGAAAGTCCCAGCTAGGAAACGCAGTTGAGATTCCCAGCCAGGTGGCACAAAGAAGTGCTTGGATCAGGGGACAGGCTATGACAATGGAGTTGTTCAGTGGTTTTCCTAAGAGTTTCCTTGTCTTGTTCCCTGGCTTGGTGGCCATGAAGGCCAGGATCACCATGACAGTTTTTGCCAACACAGAGGAAACTGCAAGGGCAAAGAGAATGGCAAAGGCAGATTGTTGTAAGAGACAGGTGACCTTCCCAGGTTGACCAATGAAACGGAAAGAGCAGAGGAAGCAGAGCAGGAGGGAGACCAGGAGAATATAAGTGAGATCTCGGTTGTTGGCCTTGACAATCGGTGTGTCATGATGTTTAAGGAAAATTACCAGGACTGCAGAAGTGATCAGAGAGAAAAAGAGCAAGAAAAACTAAAGTGTATCCCAGGGTCTCTTGATAGGTAAAGAAGTGGATCTTCTTGACAATGCATTGGTCCTTGTCCTTGTTGGGATATTGGTCTTCTGGGCAGGGTTCACAGTGAGCTGCATCTGAAATCAAGAGTGTTTGGCTAAGAATTTCAGGGGTATCTGCCATATGCATTATCCCTCCTACAGAGGTGATATGACTTCCGCTTTCTGCTGTTGGCCTGTCCACAAAGGGAATGATGAAAGGACTCCCTGTACAATTTATGGGGCATCAAAAAGGGCAAATCATCCTCCATTTATGATGATCCTGGGGAGAGATTAGCCAGAGACAAGGATTTGTTCAGGTCCAGCTATACATTCACTGTGCGCTTCCATGAGTAATGAGGCTTCCAGTTTGATGTTGCTGCCTGTTTTCTCTCCTATTTTATAATGGAACCCCCAGAAGAATGACATATCTGTTATCCAGGAATGCTGCTCTTTTGTTTTTGAGTACATTATCCCTGCCTCGACCTCTCTGCTTTGTATCTCAAATCTGTTCATTCAGACGTTTTTTGCTCTTTCCTGCTCTATCAAAGAGACATAGATAGATGAATGTCCTCTTTCCCTGGCAGGTCTATTTCCTCAGAGGTTGATAGTGCTGATGGAAGGAGCATATTCTGAATAATAAAAATTAAAGCTTGGACCGCACACCCCACTTCCTCAGGAAAGATTGGAAGGCAGTTTTTGCATTTGGGGATTAGAATAGGAGTGGAAATCCTAGTTGGAGATTCATAAATTCTGCCCAAAAGCTATTCTGCATGGAACTGCTGAGGATCATGAGAGTATTCAAGTTTGCTATTATATGGGGCAATTAGCACAAATTCCTTCTGTTTCTTCTTCTCGCACCAGAGGCCATTTGATGGAAAGGGAGATGTTATCAAAAATCACTGAATACTGATAGGGAACTCCATAAAGCCTCAGATATCGAAAGAAACAACCACATATGCTTTTAACATTGATACAAAACTCAATACCTTTAAAACACTATTTTGAAAGAATAACTAAAAGAAAAAGAATAAAATGAGAAAAAAAAATCAACTCCTTGAAATAATGAATACTTCTTTAAAAACTAGGTTTCCATCCACATAGGATACTTTGATAACCCAATAAAGAGAAGACATGATAAACAAAATGCAGGGTGTTTGTTGTTGAAAACAGGTATATTGTAACAGTTGCAGCACTTGATAAGGAATTCTTTTATGGGCAAATTTCTCCTTTATGCCATCATTTCTTAGAACTTTTATCACATTCAAAGACAAATATAAATGAGGCTAATCTTTGCATTAGTTAGAATTTTTTGTTTCTTACTATATTTTCTCTACAATTCAGATGGGGCCTCAGCAGAATAATGTAGCATTTGGGAAAAAAGATACAAGCCAAGAGAGCAGCTCCAGAGGCTAAAATGGAGAAAATCTCCACGGCTACCATGGACTTCCCTTTGGTGCTCAGATAGGTAGGGAGGAAGGAGATCCAAACACTGCAAAAGACCAGCATGCTAAAAGTAATGAACTTGGCTTCATTAAAGCTGTCAGGCAATTTCCTAGCTAGAAATGCCACTGTGAAACTGACTAGGGCCAAAAGTCCTAGGTAAGAGAGGACACCGTAAAACATTACAGTTGAGCCTTCCTTGCATTCCAAGATGGTCTCTCCAAACAAGGAGTGAAAGTCCCAGCTAGGAAACACAGTTGAGATTCCCAGCCAGGTGGCACAAAGAAGTACTTGGAGCAGGGGACAGGTTATGACAATGGAGTTGGTCAGTGGTTTTCCTAAGAGTTTCCTTGACCTGTTTCCAGGCTTGGTGGCCATGAAGGCCAGAACCACCATGACAGTTTTTGCCAACACAGAAGAAACCGCAAGGGAAAAGAGGATGGCAAAGGCAGATTGTTGGAAGAGACAGGTGAGCTTCCCTGGTTGACCAATGAAGAGGAAGGAGCAGAGGAAGCAGAGCAGGAGGGAGACCAGGAGAATGTAAGTGAGATCTCGGTTGTTGGCCTTGACAATTGGTGTGTCATGATGTTTAAGGAAAATTACCAGGACTGCAGAAGTGATCACAGAGAGAAAAAGAGCAAGAAAAACTAAAGTGTATCCCAGGGTCTCTTGATAGGAAAGGAAGTGGATCTTCTTGGCAATGCATTGGTCCTTGGCCTTGTTGGGATATTGGTCTTCTGGGCAGGGTTCACAGTGAGCTGCATCTGAAATCAAGAGTGTTTGGCTAAGAATTTCAGGGGGATCTGCCACATGCATTATCCCTCCTACGGAGGTGATATGACTTCCTCTTTCTGCTGTTGGCCTGTCCACAAAGGGAATGATGAAAGGACTCCCTGTACAATTTATGGGGCATCAAAAAGGGCAAATCATCCTCCATTTATGATGATCCTGTTCATTCAGACGTTTTTTGCTCTTTCCTGCTCTATCAAAGAGACGTAGATAGATGAATGTCTTCTTTCCCTGGCAGGTCTATTTCCTCAGAGGTTGATAGTGCTGAAGGAAGGAGCATATTCTGAATAATAAAAATTAAAGCTTGAACTGCACACCACACTTCTTCAGGAAAGATTGGAAGGCAATTTTTGCATTTGGGGATTAGAATAGGAGTGGAAATCCTAGTTGGAGATTCATAAATTCTGCCCAAAAGCTATCCTGCATGGAACTGCTGAGGATCAGGAAAGGTGCCTCTGTGGCCGGGGCAGTTTAGATCTGTAAACTGAAAGGTTTTGCTGAAAGATATGATTTTATGTCAATCTTATGAAAAATGACACAATAACAAAAAATGACTTAATGAATGTCTTCTTTGATCCTGAAAGATTAACATTTGAAGTCTTGTCTACCTGTCTGATTAGAAAAGGTCCCTTCTGGACAAGCAGCTCACCTTTGTGGCCCAGACGATTCCATCAGATTTAATGGTGAAATCTTGGCCTGGGGGAGCCTCAGGATTTACTTGCCCAACCTTCACGGGGACAAAATATTTATTGGGGAGGAAAACCCAGTTGAGAAGATCGTAACGAGCAGATCCTAGTCCATCTTCTGAGAAGAAGACTTCATCTCCAGCACTGTTGTTGAACTGCATATTCCTCAAATAGGGAAGAATCTGAAAGAAAGGAGAGCTTCAGAAATTGGAGTATTTGGATTAGAGCTACCAATGAGACCTCGTGGCTTCTATCATCACATAACGGCCATCCTGACAAGATGGGTTTATATTTGAGAAGCTAGTTCTGTATCTTGGTGGCCATCTGAGGAATCGGGTGTATTTAACACTGAAATGAAAAGTTCTCCCTTTATCCCTGGGCGCGCTTTCCACCTCCGATTGGATCAAAACCCAAGAATTTTAGTTCCAGAGTCTAAATTTAATTTTAGGATTTTCTCTGGTGATCCTTGGCTACATGCACTTTCAAACAGTTCCTTTGTCTCACGGCCTTTTTAACTGATGGATGAATGTTTGAAATAAAGAAAGGATTGCTATCGGAACCATGGGAAATTCCACTGGTTTTCTCTGGCTCATTGTCAAAGGCAGCAGAATGCAAGAACCAGGTTTGATTTGCTGGGCCATGTGGAAGGAAGCATCTGACCTGGTTGGTCATTTTAGATACCCTAGAATAGGGCAGGAGTTGAAACAGGTGATGTCCAGGATGCGAGGGGCCTGTTCATATTTTCACAGCCAGCCCCCCCTCTTTTTGGCAGTATACAGGGCCTCAAGGGAAGGCAGGTTGGTAGCTCTTCATTGTTTTTTCTGCCCGTCTAATGATCCTCTAAAGTCTGGGTCTGTCTTGGAGGGTTGCAGAACCCAACCAGACAGTTCTGCAGCTGCAGATGGGACAGACTCCATCATTCCTCTGTAGAACTGGATCAGCTCCTTGGGCAGTTGGAGCTTTCTGAGCACATTCTTCCTTGCGCTTTTTTGATGTTAGCTGTCCATCTTGCGATCTTGCGATACGGTAGAGCCTAGACATTTGAAGGTCTCTCCAGTTGATCCTGCGTTTAGCCTTTGATGCGGAAAATGCTGATGAAGTTCAGACCAGGAACCCATTAGGACCACTTTGAATCTTGCTCTGTGCTGTGGTTGTCATAGAAACAGGACCCCAGTATGTTATGTATAAATGCCCACCATTCACCATCCCAGGTATGATAAGGGTTAACTCTACATCCACCTAGATCCTCCCCTGACCCCTTCTTACCTTAGCTCCGCCTCCCAGGTACTTAAGACACGGTCCAGGAGTCCAGGAGCCACTTCCAGCTGAATACCTGTAATAGAAACATTGATCAATAAAGAGCATTGGTTCACTGCATCCTGTGTTTGGAGTTATTGGGTAAGATCCTAGAAATCAGTAACAGGTTGGTAGCAGAGGACGGTTTACCCACAACTCACAGAGATGGCAGAATCAAGAACCCAGACAGAAGCAGAGAAAAGAATGGCCACCAGAGCCTACATCAAGCAGATGAAAGAACTGCAGGCTCTCGAAGGTGCCACAGCAAGGACCACCACAACTGAAGGTGATGGAGACTACAACCCGAGTCCACAACCCAGGGACGAAGGGCCAAGAGAAGGAATCCACTACTGCGAAAAGGCAGAGCAACCAAGCAACGAAGAATTCCGATCCACCATCCTGGGGATGATGGAAGCGACTGCCAGCAAAGAGGAGCTCATCGCGAAACTCCAAAGCCTACTCGAAAGCAATGGAGCAGCGATGAGCACCCAGCAACAGAGAGAAGAAATCCTCAGCCCGGCAAGAGGAAGGTATCCCCAAACTGAAGCTCCGGACGTAGAGGATTTCATTTCCGCGCCATGCTCTCGGCGGCCATCTTGGAATGGCCAACAGCCAATGGGAGGCCGAGATTTAAATCAAATGGCGGGAAACAGCGAGAACCCCAATTTCGCTGGGGAAGACCCCCAAAACACCACCCAAGCAAGATCACAAGCCTGTGGGGGCTCACCCATCGAGTCCGAAGCAGACGAAACGATAGAAAACCTGGCTGCAGCACTCGGCTCAGCACTCAAGCCCCCAGGAGCCAGGAAGAAACAAACCGACGCTCAGCACCCCCAAAAGAGCAGCAGGGTAGCCACCGGAACCCTTGCAGTGCACCAGCAGACACCACGCGGGACAACGCACCCCAAAAACTACACCCAAGACCTGGCCGCCTGCAGGACTGAATACCTGCAGGATTCGCACTCGCCACCCACCGCACCAACTTCCCTAGGCCGCGGAATGAGGAGAAGAATCAACGACTCACCAACCACACAGCCTCCACCAGGCTTCCTGGCCCATCCGGAGGTCCTCCAGTGTTGCCCAGGACCCACCGCCGCTGCCGCGCCGCCGAATCCGAGAGATCCTCGACTTACGACTGCCGCCGCTGCCGCCATCTCCAGGGATCCTCGACCTGCGACCGCCTCACCTCCTCGCCTTCTTCCAGCCTTTGCCCAAGATGCAGGGGCCCAGCCATGGCATCCGACGGCCAGGGAGGGCTACGGGCCCGCCAGGAGCGAGCCCAGCCCCCCACCAGCAGGCCTAGGCCTAGGCCTGAGAGCAGCAACAAGGAGCTCCTCACCAGACGACCTCCGGCGCGAAATGAGCCTCGCACATGCCCAGTCGCCACCTACAGGAAGAGAGAGAAACATAGAGATAAGTACAAGGAACATAGAGATAAGTACAAGGAACATAGAGATAAGTCAGTTCAGACTGGCAACAAGCATTCCCCCAGCATATTGCGAGTTCACTCACATAAAGAACCATGGACAGCACCAGACTGTAAGTAACATAACTTTTACTGCTGACAATTACAAATTGAAATTAGATGGGGCCAATCTTTTGGAGTGGTACCACCAACTACAAATTGCTTTTCGGAAAGAAAATATGTTGTACCTATTTGATGACCCACCCAAGAAGCCATGGACTTTTGAGATTGACTGTTTGCACCACAGGGCTTACTATCTGTTAATGTCTAGCTTGTCACCCAGCATCTACCCCAGTCTTGGCCGCCACTTAACCGTGGCAGAGATACTACAAAAAATACTTAATTTATTTTACAGTAAGAGTGCAGCCACTACAACCAAAATATCCAGGGAATTTTACTCAGCCAGGCATAAGGCAGGGACACCCATGGGGGAGCATATACTCAAGCTAAACACCACCAGGGCAGAACTCATACAAAGGGGGGAAACCATTTCTTATAATATCATGGAAAGCATCATCATAAACATCCTGGCCAGCCCACACTGGGAAACATACCATGGCCAGCTCATCCTGGCCAGCCCACACTGGGAAACATACCATGGCCAGCTCATCCTGGCCAGCCCACCCTGGGCAACATACCATGGCCAGCTCATCCTGGCCAGCCCACACTGGGCAACATACTATGGCCAGCTCATCCTGGCCAGCACACACTGGGCAACATACTATGGCCAGCTCATCCTGGCCAGCCCACACTGGGAAATATACCATGGCCAGATCACCCTGGCCAGCCCACACTGGGCAACATACCATGGCCAGCTCACCCTGGCCAGCCCACACTGGGAAATATACCATGGCCAGATCACCCTGGCCAGCCCACACTGGGCAACATACCATGGCCAGATCATCCTGGCCAGCCCACACTGGGCAACATACCATGGCCAGCTCATCCTGGCCAGCCCACACTGTGAAACATGCCATGGCCAGCTCATCCTGGCCAGCCCACACTGGGAAACATGCCATGGTCAGCTCATCCTGGCCAGCCCACACTGGGCAACATACCATGGCCAGCTCATCCTGGCCAGCCCACACTGGGCAACATACCATGGCCAGCTCATCCTGGCCAGCCCACACTGGGAAACATACCATGGCCAGCTCATCCTGGCCAGCCCACACTGGGAAACATACCATGGCCAGCTCATCCTGGCCAGCCCACACTGGGAAACATGCCATGGCCAGCTCATCCTGGCCAGCCCACACTGGGAAACATACCATGGCCAGCTCATCCTGGCCAGCCCACACTGGGAAACATACCATGGCCAGCTCATCCTGGCCAGCCCACACTGGGAAACATACCATGGCCAGCTCATCCTGGCCAGCCCACACTGGGCAACATACCATGGCCAGCTCATCCTGGCCAGCCCACACTGGGCAACATACCATGGCCAGCTCATCCTGGCCAGCCCACACTGGGAAACATACCATGGCCAGCTCATCCTGGCCAGCCCACACTGGGAAACATACCATGGCCAGTTCACCCTGGCAAGCCCAGACTGTGAAACATACCATGGCCAGCTCATCCTGGCCAGCCCACACTGGGAAACATACCATGGCCAGCTCATCCTGGCCAGCCCACACTGGGAAACATACCATGGCCAGCTCATCCTGGCCAGCCCACACTGGGAAACATACCATGGCCAGCTCATCCTGGCCAGCCCACACTGGGAAAATACCATGGCCAGCTCATCCTGGCCAGCCCACACTGGGCAACATACCATGGCCAGCTCATCCTGGCCAGCCCACACTGTGAAACAGACCATGGCCAGTTCACCCTGGCCAGCTCACACTGTGAAACATGCCATGGCCAGCTCATCCTGGCCAGCCCACACTGTGAAACATACCATGGCCAGCTCATCCTGGCCAGCCCACACTGGGAAACATGCCATGGCCAGCTCATCCTGGCCAGCCCACACTGGGAAACATGCCATGGCCAGCTCATCCTGGCCAGCCCACACTGGGCAACATACCATGGCCAGCTCATCCTGGCCAGCCCACACTGGGCAACATACCATGGCCAGCTCATCCTGGCCAGCCCACACTGGGCAACATACCATGGCCAGCTCATTCTGGCCAGCCCACACTGGGCAACATACCATGGCCAGCTCATCCTGGCCAGCCCACACTGGGCAACATACCATGGCCAGCTCATCCTGGCCAGCCCACACTGGGCAACATACCATGGCCAGCTCATCCTGGCCAGCCCACACTGGGCAACATACCATGGCCAGCTCATCCTGGCCAGCCCACACTGGGCAACATACCATGGTCAGCTCATCCTGGCCAGCCCACACTGGGAAACATACCATGGCCAGCTCATCCTGGCCAGCCCACACTGGGAAACATACCATGGCCAGCTCATCCTGGCCAGCCCACACTGGGCAACATACCATGGTCAGCTCATCCTGGCCAGCCCACACTGGGAAACATGCCATGGCCAGCTCATCCTGGCCAGCCCACACTGGGCAACATACCATGGTCAGCTCATCCTGGCCAGCCCACACTGGGCAACATACCATGGTCAGCTCATCCTGGCCAGCCCACACTGGGCAACATACCATGGCCAGCTCATCCTGGCCAGCCCACACTGGGCAACATACCATGGTCAGCTCATCCTGGCCAGCCCACACTGGGAAACATACCATGGCCAGCTCATCCTGGCCAGCCCACACTGGGCAACATACCATGGCCAGCTCATCCTGGCCAGCCCACACTGGGCAACATACCATGGCCAGCTCATCCTGGCCAGCCCACACTGTGAAACATGCCATGGCCAGCTCATCCTGGCCAGCCCACACTGGGCAACATACCATGGTCAGCTCATCCTGGCCAGCCCACACTGGGCAACATACCATGGTCAGCTCATCCTGGCCAGCCCACACTGGGCAACATACCATGGCCAGCTCATCCTGGCCAGCCCACACTGGGCAACATACCATGGCCAGCTCATCCTGGCCAGCCCACACTGGGCAACATACCATGGTCAGCTCATCCTGGCCAGCCCACACTGGGAAACATACCATGGCCAGCTCATCCTGGCCAGCCCACACTGGGAAACATACCATGGCCAGCTCATCCTGGCCAGCCCACACTGGGCAACATACCATGGCCAGCTCATCCTGGCCAGCCCACACTGTGAAACATGCCATGGCCAGCTCATCCTGGCCAGCCCACACTGGGAAACATACCATGGTCAGCTCATCCTGGCCAGCCCACACTGGGCAACATACCATGGCCAGCTCATCCTGGCCAGCCCACACTGTGAAACATGCCATGGCCAGCTCATCCTGGCCAGCCCACACTGGGCAACATACCATGGCCAGCTCATCCTGGCCAGCCCACACTGGGAAACATACCATGGTCAGCTCATCCTGGCCAGCCCACACTGGGCAACATACCATGGCCAGCTCATCCTGGCCAGCCCACACTGGGCAACATACCATGGTCAGCTCATCCTGGCCAGCCCACACTGGGAAACATACCATGGCCAGCTCATCCTGGCCAGCCCACACTGGGAAACATACCATGGCCAGCTCATCCTGGCCAGCCCACACTGGGAAACATGCCATGGCCAGCTCATCCTGGCCAGCCCACACTGGGAAACATACCATGGCCAGCTCATCCTGGCCAGCCCACACTGGGAAACATACCATGGCCAGCTCATCCTGGCCAGCCGACACTGGGCAACATACCATGGCCAGCTCATCCTGGCCAGCCCACACTGGGCAACATACCATGGCCAGCTCATCCTGGCCAGCCCACACTGGGCAACATACCATGGCCAGCTCATCCTGGCCAGCCCACACTGGGCAACATACCATGGCCAGC